ATAAAAAGCTGAACAACTTCACGGAGATGAGCTTTTCCTGATTAACTTTTTCTAGAGTAATTCATCAATCTCTTTTTTGCGTACTTCAAGAAGTCTTGGATTCATTTGGATAGACCTTGCTTTAGTTGGTATTTTATTTTCATTAAATCCTTCTATATAGAGCAGACTTACTATGTGTCTTTTCCTGTTCCAAAAGGCGTTTGGTAGATCTGCACAAATTTCTTCTTCTATTTTCTTTTTGATATTTTCAATACTCTTTTTATTCTCTAGTAAAGAAAGCTTTTCATTTGTTATCTTATATTTTACTTCTTCTTTGAGATGACATAAGAATCTCTTTTTATTTTCTATAATTTGCTTAATGTTGTTGACCTCTCTGAATTTTGGCTTATCTACAAATTCAAATTTTACACTATGACCTTCTATGTTTGATTCTATTCCTGTACTATCTATTTTCAAAGGATATAAAAGATTTAAGAAAGGAGTGCCTAGTATAACAGCTTGGCTTAACCTTTTACCATAATGAAGGGCATTTCATAGCAATTACCATTGTTACATATTGCAGCATTAGACAACTTATACTTAATTATTAGTCTACTACCATCTGCTGTATTGAGTATTTGAGTTGTTTTGCTGAAATATTTAGTAGGAACTAGTCCTTCATTTATACAATTAAGGTCTGCTCCTGAATCTATTAATGCTTAGGATTGAAAGCTGTATTCATTTTGCACTATTATTCTTAATAAAGTGAACCATTTCTGAGTAATAACTTTATCTAATAGGTTTACATAATTATTATCTTGTATAGGTTTATCAGCCAAATTAGAAGATTCTGAGGTTTCTATTATTGGAGGTATAGGGGTTTTATGGTTCCTTAAGAGACTATCAAATTCCAATTCTTCGTTTGTATCATCCTCAGAAAAGTCAGCAGACATTTCTAATATTCTTATTCTATTCTTAAGATGTACTTCAGATTTTACCTCATTAATTTCTTGTTTTAACTCAGAAATGGATGGTTCCTTATGGACCATATCTTTTTTATTAATTCTTTTAAGTATTTCTGCTAGACTATATTCTTCTTGTGTTTTTACCAAAGGGGCTGGCTTCTTTTTTGTTTTAGCTACTTGTATGTAGTGTTAGGCCTTCTCTTTTGGCTTCTGAGTCAGCTATCTTATCTATTAAATCTATGATCAAATTTTCTTCATCTGTGAGGGTATCAAGACTCTTGCAAAAACATTCTTCCATTTCTTCATCTAAATCTGAGCTACTTAATATTAAATTTTCATCTTCTAATCTTCCGACAAGAGGCTCAGTATCAGAGCTTGAAGTATTATCTTCTGATTCCTCTTCCATTTGGAGTATATCATATATCTGACTTCTGATCTCTTCTTCAAGCGGTAGGGCATTGATTTTCCTTTTGATTTTGCATTTGTTCTTGTAAGGTCCTACTTTCCCACAGTTATAACATACTGGAATCTTTCTCTTTCCTTTTTTAAAATTGGTTTTTGGGACAAACTTTCTAGTAAATTTATCCTTAAGATCTCTCTTCTAGATTTATCCTTTTTATTTTTATTTTTTCTTTTATAAGGTTTAACAGATGAAGGTACCGTATTATAGCCAAATTGCTCGCAAAAGTCTCCTAGTTCTCTCTTTGCCCCTCATTCTCTGCTTATCGAGTTGCCTTTTTAACTTTAAATCAGTACGACATTTTGCACAAATTTCTGCAGATAGTTCTCCTAAAGTATAAAGGGAGTGTGTGATTATTCCTCCATTCTTATTCTTCAATCTATTTTTCACCTTTTCAGCAAACAGATAAGGTAATTCTGCTATAAATTTTTCCTTCCAATGATCTGCACTACTGTCTTCCCTGGACAGAAGGCGAGAAAAGAAAACGTCCTTATACCATTTGTAGTGAGATAATGTCGGCCATCTTAAATTAGATAATAGATCTTCCGATCTAGCATCTAATAAGGAAGTACTTCCTACAAAATGGAGGGTTATTGTATAGATAAGTGTATTAGCTGCATCATTTTCGCTATGAGGTATTTTTTGATTATATTCATTTTTTACAGTCCACTGCGTTGTAGCGTTTAATATTTGTTGTTTAGAAGCTTCACTCATGTGGAAATCCCTCCATCCTCTTAACTATCCTGTAAACCCACAGACAATGGCTTTGGGTACTTCTTGGTCATGATTTTGAGCTATCTTGCAAGCAATAGCATACATGGTTATATGCTTCATGGTATCTAATATTTGATGGTCAGACATACCATCGATATTCCGATTGACGATCGTTCTTTCCGAGTAGGATACAATACTTGAAATTAAATCTTCTTCAAACTGTATATCTACTGGGGTTGGCCTAGTATGGTACATTCTTGATTGGGCAGTAGGCCTCCATTTCCTTCCATAATCTATCCTATTAATATTTGAATCGTCTTCTTTGAAGTTTTCCTCTATTTTGAATATTTCATCATTGTTTATTGAATCTTCTTGAAGCACCATGGCTTCTGATTCAACTACTATCCCTTTCCCTTTTTTATCTTTTATACTTAACTGGTATAGTCTTTTTATCAGTTCATCAACTAATTCTTTGTATTCTTCTTTCTTCTTTATTCCTTTTAGGCTGAATCTTTCTTCATTTATCTTTGGAGGAGGTTTGAATAGTATTGCCTTCTTTTTATCTGGTACTTCTCCTTGAGATTTTCCTATTATGTTTTCTATTTTGGTAGTCTGTTTACCAATAGACTGTAAACAAAGGTTTGTATAGTTGTTTTGTTCTATTATATGTGGGATCATCTCTATTTTATGGCCATGCTCATTAGGGGCCAGCTTATAAGGAGAGGCTTTTGTTTTAGGCTTATCTTTTAACTTTCCTTTTAGTTGGAGATTTTTCCCTGGGGATGTATACTTTGTATTTCTTCTCATCTGTCGTATAGAAGGTTTGGTATTGATTTTTTAATGTATTTAACTCAAAGGTGGGGTTAGGAATATTTTTCTCTTTAAGAGTCGATTTCAACCAGATCAAATAATTGAATATCCAGATGGAAATATTGAAATCCAATTCATTTATAGCCGAAGAGCAAGATTGAATTTTTCTGAAGATATAATAAAACCTCCAAAACGAATGCCTGCACCTTCCAGACATTCTACTTCATCAATACAGGATAAGCCCTTAATACAAGGGTTAACAAGAACAAATAGTAACATTAACGTACCCGTATGCAAGGCTTATGATCCTAGTCCATCAGGGAGTGAACCAACATTCTCTGACCTTGACTTTAATATCCTGACTCTCCAGAAAGAAGAAAAGGTCAAAGTAGACATAGAATTATTAAAAAATGATTGTCTTTCTGAAACTAATAAAGGGATAAGAGAATAGTATCTATCAAAATTCTCATAAGAATTGTTAGACGCCTTTCATAAAAGATACAATAAGTTTATAAATTGAGATTAGCCCACTAGCTCATATGAACATATGAGCCCAACTGCCCAAATTGAATATGGGCTAATCTGACAATCATATATTTTAATTTTAATTTATTTTTTTTACGAATCCAAATAACTTGAAATTTTAGGTATGTATTCTTCAAAAGTAGAAGAATCTAACAAAAATATCAAAAAAATAATTTGCAACTTTCGTGTTTGAATTTTAATTTTATTTTTTTTACGAATCCAAATAACTTGAAATTTTAGGTATGTGTTCATAAAAAATAGAAGAACATAATAAAAATATCAAAAAAATAAATTTGCAAGAAATAAATGAATCAAAATACCCTTGAAACGTTTTGGAGGTATTTTGGTCAATTTATTTTTTGTGAATTATTTTTTAAATATTTTTATTAGGTCCAACTTGATGAGAAGAATGGGCGTCTAAAATTTACTGTTATTTGGATTTGTATAAAAAAAATTAAAACTTAACATAAAATAAAGTCGTGACTATCAAATCAGCCCATATTCAATCTGTGAACTGTTAGGTTCATATATTCATATGAGCTAGTGGGTTAATCTCAGCATTTTTCATATATAAAATACATTTATATATTATTTTATTTATATATAATATCATATGATACATAAATAGATATTATTGTATTTACAGGTTCAACTAGATGGAATTATTCGGGCCTAAAGGATTAGGGTTTTGAAATTCTGCTTCGATAGGTGAAAATGTGATTGAAATAAGAGGAAATTAGTTTTTTATTAATGAGAAAGAGAATGTTGGAAATATATTAAGATTAGGATTAGAGTTTTGAAGCCCAAGCAAAAATGTTACCAGAAAACAAGGCATCATGAGCCATTTAGATTTATATCTATAGAGACCAATTAATTTGTATCTATAAGACCAATTAATAACCATTGAGATTTATATCTATAGAGACCAATTAATAGAGCACAATAGTTTTCATTTTTGTTTGCTGAATATTGATAGTGACTTATGGCTAACATTCTAATACATACAAATCCCTTTACCTCTTCAGCATTGATTTTCCTTAGATTTATATTTTTTAATTGTGAGTTGTGAACCAAACATCATTAGTGAAGCATTTGATCAATATGTGTTTTTTATTTATGATCCAAAAACCATTAATGAAGCATTCTGTCGGAAAGAAAAGCCAATGGCTATAAAACTGAGGTAGTCATAAAGTTGATGGTGGATGCTTGAATGGTTAAAATCAAGTCGGTTAAAATCATTCTCCCAATATTGAGCACAAAATGGTAATTTCTTTCAACATTTGAGCGAGTGAAAAACGGTTTATTTCCACATTTGAGTGAGTGAAAAATGGTTTGGCACAACTATGGATTAGCAATCACAAGACGAATGAGTATTGTGCTCTTATTGCTTGTTGTGCAGCAATTTACTGTGCTATTATTGCTTGTTGTGCAGTAATTAAGAATCACATGATTATTGTTTGTTGTGCAGTAATTAAGAATCACATGATTATATAAAAGAAGTTTTTTTCACAAGGATCTAAAAATTTATTGATTTTTGGTTTTTGAAGGATGTTTTTGGGAAGCGTAAGCAACTACTGCATCAATAGCGTAAGTTGTCCAGTGATCATCATTAAAGAAAATTCTACTTCTTAACTTCATTTGTCCCTGCCCCTTCATGTGTGTGATCTTCTTTTTTATCACTGAATTGATTTGTATGATTTGAACTTCAATATTCATTTTTCATAATATGCAGTATGCAATGCACAATCTCATGCATGATTGCGTAACCTATCTCAAGTTTATAGCTATTTGATGATTGTGATTGGTTAAATCAAATGTATCAATGAGCTTGTTTGGAATTGTGCTTTATAAATATAATTTGGATGAGAAATAAATTGTTATTGGATTGTACTCTACTCTTATGAATAGGTGACAACTGAACTTATGGTAGAATTAAATCTAAATTTCTGTAATATTCTGATCTATAAATTCTTGATTTTATTCAAATGGAAACTGACCCGTCATATGGACAGATATTAATGGATATATTTAATAGCAAAACGTTCTATGCTTTCTTTATAGCATCAAACTTATATACTTCCCCATAATAGACGGTTGAGATAGCCCCTCTACACTATTTTATTTTCAATGTTTTTTCTACAAACTATTTTGATACCAAATTTTGGGTGTCACTCGTCTCTTAAACTCGTACTTGTAAAAATATAAAACTAATATTCTCAATAAAATCAAATGACCAAAATACCTTCAAAGGGTATATTGGTTATTATATTTTATTGAAAAAAAAATTTTAATATTTTTTTAGGTGCGCTCTATTGAGAAGATGGTATATACCAAATTTTATATTCATACAATTTTTTCAAAAAATAAAAAATAAAATAACATACTCTAAAGCGTCGGATCCAGATCAAACGATACGTGGCTCACTTGATCTAAATTGGAAGGCAGATGAGAGAAGTATGTATCTTTTATACTTATAGAAACCTTTATTATATTGACGGTCCACATAAGACTCTAATTGTATTTTGGTACTCGTTTTTATGTTTTTAATACATTTCATAATCCTAGTCAATAAACTAATACTGTAAAAGGAAAAACACGTGTGCCCCCAAATGGGAGGCCCTCGAACCCCAAAGTTTATAAAATAGGGGGCGGTTTGTATAAACACACTTTCAAATAGTGTTGAAAAATGTGGTTTCAAAAGTGCCCTTTTATTTTTCAATATTCCCTGTGGCCCAGATTACTTTCCCTTATATTTTTAATCTGTTGGCTCAGATTATCCATATTTACCTCAATAAATAATGGAAGGGTAACAGGATAGAGAGAGAAAGGGAGAGGTTTATGGGTCAAGAGAGACGCAAGGTTAATGGGATAGAGAGAGAAAAGGAGATGTTCATGGGTTAGAGAGAGAAAGTGAGAAGGGTATCAGGTTGGAGAGAGAGGAGGGTCATGGGTAGAGAGAGAAAGGGGGGCTTGTAGTGTAGAGAGAGAAAGGGCGAAGGTTCATAAGAGAGTTTTTCGATTGTTTAAATATTGGAGTTTTTTTTTTTTCTTATTAGAAAATAGCATGTTTTAAAAGAAATGTCAATTGTTCGATCTAAATTGAAAATTGTCATGCCCATTTTAGATCCTGTAAGATATCGGGATCCGCCCAAGGCTCCCTAAAACCAGCCGGTTGGAACCGATACGTATTAATTCTCTAACAGAAGGACTAGATTAGAACGGATTTAAAATTTGATTATTTTTTATTTTATAGAGGGGGCCCACCCTTCACGCCCATCTCCTTCTAATAGGTGGTTTTTAATTTTTCATAAATTTAATAGAGGGGCCATATTAACTCGTCAAAGTGAGAGAACGCTTGTAACTTTTACGCAAGGCTTTTATTTTTAATTTTTTAATTTTTTAATTTTTTAATTTTTTAATTTTATTTAAGGGAGCCTCGCGTGTGCACCTACATCCTCTTGTTGCTCAACAATGTAGGATAGACGCTTCCATGCTTTTATACCATCACGTTCACTCAACGAACATTGAATCTAGTAAATGAAATTGAGCTTAATAAGAAAATCGAGCCACTCAAGCCCATGATTTAAGTAATGAAATTGAGCCTAATAAGAAAATCGAGCGACCACATGTACTCAAGCCATTCGAATCAAAGCACACCGAAACAAAATTTAGCCCAATATGAATCTTAGAGTGGTGATGGGAAATGAAAAGAAACTTTTTTAAAAAAGCACTACAATTTTTTTTAAAAGGTAGTTTTTAGGTTTTTCAAATAAAAAAAAAGGTATTGAATTATAGTTTTTCATTATTTTACAAAAAATGTGTAAATATTAAGGACCTGTTTTTTGCTAGTGTTTGTTGTTCATTAATTTCACTTCATAGTCAACAATTCATTTTCAATATCTCAGTTATCTAAAGAAATAAATAATTATGTGACAATAAAAATCCAATTTGACACTGGAATTATTTGTTGTGCCATCAAAATGTAAACAATATATTCTTGTGACATTTTAAATTTGGGCATGTATGCTATGCTGGCTTGTGAGCATATAATTTATATCTTCTCTCTCAGTTAGACTAGAGGATTTTTTCAAATATAAAATTTTAGAAATCACCTAAATATCAAAAGATGATTGTTCTAAAAAAAAAGTTGAAATTTGAGTTGTCTAACACGTAAATCTCACTTTCTAAAAATTAAACGGTTTTTATTCAATATTAAGATTATTTTCTTCATTGTGTGGATGGATGGTGCAATTAGATAAAAAATTTATTGATTATAATCTATGAGTAGAAGAGGTTATGTCCCCAAAATTTTCAGGTTCTAAAATTAATTCTAAGTAGGATTTACCCAAAAGAGTAAATGGGCCATATCCTTTGAAAGAGGTAGAATATCTTTTGGCTTAATAGCAATTAATATTCCCTCTCTCTCTCTCTTTCATTATACACCTCTCTCCCTCTTTCACTCTACTCATTGTTTTTTAGTCCCACATTGAAATTTTCCAGAGAGTTAGGGGGGTTATTCTAAATATGATGAGGAATAGGGGGGATACAAATATGAGCTGGTCACACACAGGTGTGTGCTCCAGGCAAGCGTGTAGGGGTGCTTTCCCCACAGCGGAGGGTGGGCTACCATCTATGCAATTTATATGAATTATAAAATTTTGAAGAAAATAAAAAAAATATAAAGATTATTGTATGGGGATGGGCCCAACCACCTCTCTCTTTAATAAAGAAATTTAAAATATTTTTTTACGATGTCTGGTTGGCCAATTCTGTCAGAGAACCAACCTAAGCTATGAGCTAGCCAGTTCCCAATATTTTAGGAGATTCGAATCGGCCTGATCGATTCTGGTTTTAAATTGATACGTTTTGATTCGGATCAGCGATATTTAAAACACTGGTTATAATTTTATATCATAAAGGCTAATTAAGTTAGGAAATTCTAGTTCATAAGTTTATGCTCTAAAAGTCCACACACACACCACACACATACACATATATATATTCTACATGTATTGAGCTACAATTGTGGGGTGGACATGTGACATTAAAATAAAAAGAGATCATATTTATAGAGAGCATGTAGGCTAGGTAATTTTCGAAAAGGGATAAAGAGAATCGAGGGTGTAAAGAATAGGTTTTATAGGATACCTATTAGACCAACTTTATTTTATGAGATGAAATGTTGGGCGGTTAGAAAACAACATATCCATAGGATGAATGTAACTGAGATGAAGATGTTGAGATGGATGAGTGGCAAGACAAGAGTAAATAGAATTTGAAATGAATAATTCATAAGAACTTATGTGTGGCAACAATAGGTAATAAGATGAGAGAAAGTAGACTTAGGTGGACTGGTCATATACAATGCAGACCCATTATAATATTTATTAGGAGATGAGAGTTAGTTCAAGTAGAAGGCTCACAAAGGACAACGGGTAGGCCCAAAAAGACATGGTTAGAAGTATCGAGAAAAGATATAGGAGCTTATTACCTCACTAAGGGTATACCCCTTGATAGAGTGAAATGATAGACCAAGATTCAAGTAGCCAACCCTAAATAGTTGGAAAAAGACTAAACTTAATGCATATGACAATCTACATAGTAAATTGGGAACGATAAAAGGTGAAACATATGCTTTCAAATTAACAAAAATAAGAGAAAAAATGTAGGGATTTGTACATATTAAATGTAGTATGAGTGATAATTAAAAGATCTTGGTGAGGGATGAAGAGGTCAATGAGGAGTGGAGAGTTCATTTTTAAGAATTATTAAATGATGAACATAATAAGAATACAGTAGTAGAAGGAACCGTTGGCATGAATGAGAGTAGAGGTCATATATATTCGTAAGTTTAGGATATCAGAAGTGAAAGAAGCTTTGAAGATGATAAAGATATAAAAGGCCTTAGGACCAGATGGTATCCGATAGAAGTTTGGAAGTACACGGTGGAGATTGGCATTGACTGGGTGACCAAGCTGTTCAACAGGAGTTGTGGCAGAGAGTGATTGAGCAACGACTAAGGCATGAAATAAGTGTATAAGAAAACTAATTCAGTTTTATGCCAGGGGGTCAACAATTGTGCTTATTTTTCTATTAAGGCAATTGATTGAGAAGTTTAGGGCGAAGGGAAAAGACCTCCTCCTCATGTTCTTTATTGATCTAGAGAAAACTTATGATATAGTACCTTGAGATTGATTTTGGTGAGTATTGTAAGAGAAATGAACATTCAAATACTAAATCAACTTGGTAAGAGATATGTACAAGGGAGCGCTAACTAGTGTGTGAACAACTACTGGAGAAACAAATAAGTTTTCAATGACAATAGGTCTACATCAAGGGTCAGTATTGAGCCCAGAGCTCTTTGTCTTAGTAATGGACAACTTAACCATATACCTACAAGATGAGGTACCGTAGTGTAAGTTCTTCACGGACGACATAATTTTGATCAATGAGACCTGAATCGGCATCAACACAAAGTTAAAACATTTGAGGGATGTTCTAGAATCTAAATGTTTTAAAATTAACATAACTAAGATAGAGTATATGGAATGCAAGTTTAATAATAATAAGAGTAGAGACGAGGAAATAGTTAAGATTGACGGTCAAGAAATACCAAAAAGAGAGCATTTCGATATCTTGGGTCAATAATCTAGGAAAATAGAGTGATGGAGGATGATATTACACATAGAATTAGAGCTGGGTGAGTGAAGTGGAGATGTGCAACTGGAATTTTAAGTGATTGCCGCATACCAATGAAGCTGAAAGGGAAGTTCTATAAGACAGTTGTGAGACCAGCATTGTTGGGGCGGAATATTGTGTAGCTAAGATGAGAACTTTGAGAAGAAGGAGTGGCAATGTAAGAAGGGATAGAATTCGAAAGGATCACATTTGGGAGAACTTAGGTGCGGCTCCAATAAGTTATAAGATGAGATAAAGTAAACTTAGGTAGGTTAGGTGTGCAGCGCATACTTAATACAGCTCTTGTTAGGAGGTGCAAGTTGGTTCAAGTAGAAGCTTAAGAGGGCCCAAAAGAATATTATTGGAAGTAGTGAGAAAAGATATCTGAACTTATGGCCTTACTAAGGGCATGGCCTTTGATAGAGCAAGATCGTAAACCAGAATTCATGTAGCCAACCTCAAATAGTTGGGAAAAGGCTATGATGATGATGATAATGATTATAATTACAATTACAAAAATTATGTAATTATATATTATTGTAATTTAAAATAATTTATTTTATTATTATTGTTATTGTTGTTGTTGTTGTTGTTGTCTGTTGTACACATGATTATATAATAATAATTACGTAGTATTACTTAATTTATTCTATGAGTATTAAATATATTATGATTGAGTCAATTACAATTACGCTAATAGCATGTCCACATTACTTCATTTGCTATATCAAATTTTATTATTAAAAAACTCATATAAATAACTTACTCATTTTGTCAAACCAATGTGCAATATTCAATAACATAAAGAGAGATCTATAATCGTATTTTCTTATTAATATTGTTTCTTATTATATTCTTATGAACATCACGTTATGGGCACGGCATTTTAAAAACACATGCAAAGCAAGTACCGCTCACTAGTTCTTAATCAAACTTTATGCTCAACAATATGCCACAATGCATGGTGATTTACAAAACAATGCACTATTTCTCATGGTTGTTAAAATTTCAAAATGGATGATTGGCCTAAGCCATTCCAATGTTTAGCATTCGGTCCCACATTGTTAATCATCAAAGACAGTATAGATGTCTCCTAGTTGTAGCGTATATCATGCACCCATGTTAGATAGAACTCTTTCAAATAAATAGATTGATGGGAAACGTGAACCAGGGCGCATTTGTTTCTTATGGAGGCACTTTTCAAGGGCCTTGCAAAAGTTCGTCTAGTGAGAGAGCTTTTTCATTGGTATGAGAGTTTTTATTATGTAAAAGTATATACATAAACTATTTACTTCTAGGAGGTCGTAATCACTTTGGTCTCTCACCTTCAAATTGTGTAGTTTTAAGTATTATTGACTAAACTCAGAGCTCGAAAACTTTTTTTGTTAAACTTTGTGACTCATCCCAAGTCTTTTAATTTGACATCTAATAGCTATGAGTAACTCTGAGCTCCTTATAACAAACATAAATGGTTTTATAGGATACCATCTCCTTTTTTGAGCCAAGGTTGTATGAAGCATTATCTCGCAATAGTACATAGAGCTCAGGAAACGGCATAGAAAGTACTTCCGACAGCCACAATAACTATTAGTTTGCTGAAGAAAACATTGGAAAACAATAGTCCAGTAGGAAAAAACTTTCTCAGGGGATCCTCCTTTCCCTCCAAACAAACACATGCAATATAAAATCCTGATTATTTGCAAAACCATTCATAGATAATGACCTCACAATTAGAAATCAGGCTTGGGTCAAGCTAGTAGAGGCCGGGTTTTCATAGCTTGGTGTCTCAAGTTCTTTCCTATATAACCTTGTCAAAAAAGATAAGGACCTCACAGTTGCAAAAAGAAGAACGTGTGGGTCCATCTCACAAAGAAAGGACAAAGTACCCGTGATATGCTAGAGAGAGCCAAGGAAACACATAACATCATGTCTCTACTCCGAATCTGATCATAACCAGCCAAAGCCATTCACGGGCACACCATGATACTCTTCCAATAATATCCCTCCCTCCTTGATGCTTCTGGACCTTTGGATTGCAATTCGATGAATTTTGGTTTTTAGTAGAATAAAAAGGTTATCAATCAATTGGACTTCCCCATAATTTTTTGATTGAGAACTCATCAAGCAATTTGATATGGACTCTGCCAAATTACTCTAAATTTTGGCATTCCCACCAGAGTCTCGTCTGTGGTTCGAAAAAGTAAACAAAAGAGCTTTTGGTTCGAAAGAGGGGAAAAAAACGTAAAAATAAAATAACAATCCACGAAGCAAGAAAAAAGAAACAAACACCAACAAAAAGAGACAACCAACTATAACGCAAAGATATATGTGGTTCAGCAACGTGCATACGTCTACGGGGATACGAGAGCTTCTTAACTGACAATAGAGAATAAGGTTACCACAGCTCTCTTCCTCACACCTCTCTTTTCTTGCTAACTGCAAATAAATCTATGTTTTTCCTTAACCCTAAAAGAACCTCAATCTCTTTTTCTAAAGTTGGTGTATACCTCTTTCTCTCTCTGCCTTTGATCGTAAAATTAGTAATTTTTAGCTAAACATTGAGTTCACAACTTTGGGTAAGGCAACTGATTTTTGGGTAAAGTATTACAATTCTAACATTGCTTGGGGTTAATGCTAGTTCATCATCCTCCTTAAATTTGAACATCATAAATCAATGAAATTTTGGTATCTAATGGCTGAGAAGATGTTTTTTGAAATGTGTAAAAGAAACATTTCAAATAAATTGAAATGAATCTAGTAAGGGATTTCTAAGTTGGAATTCAAGGATTGCTAGAACATTGTTTATTTGTCCATATTGAAATGAGAAGTTTTACCAATTGGTGTGAACCATGTGCATCATAGTATTCTTTTCTACATGTAAGTGGACTCATTCGATAAGTCAGTGACGTATAAGTGGACCTATCCGGTACGCCGGAATGGATTAAGGATTCATCCGGTGCGTCGGTGACTATAAGTGGACCTATCCGGTATACTGGTAAGGATTAAGTTGACCCATCCAGGATGCTGGTGGGGTATATAAGTGATCTATTTGGGACGTCAGTAGGGTACTTTGTGAAACTTTTGAATTATATGAAACTATGCATTTCTGTTAAAAGATTTATATATATACTTCCTCATATTGTTTCAATATGCATTCAAATCTTTTGGATTATGTTAAAATTGTGTGTTTCTGAATTTGAAACTGCTCGCCATGTATGCTCTTCCTCATATTGTTTTAATATGTATTCTTTTAGAAAATATTTATATTTTCCAACCATGATTTTTAAAGGATTATGATGATCACTTATTGAGTAGTCAAATTCATCAAATTATTGTGAATTCTTTTCAGAATAATAGCAACTTTATTGTTCATATGTACAATAGGAGTAGCTTGGAAGAACTTTGTAGTCATGGTTAAATTTGCCTTTGTAACTTTTGTTCTATCAAAATTGTTGAAACCCTTATGTTAATATGAGTTGTGAGTAGACTTTGTACAAGTTTAACAATTTCTGAATGAAAAAATTAATTTTGATGCAATGTATAGTAGAAATTCCGAATTTGTTCTATTTATATTTTAAGCATAGACTGTCACTCTTTAGGAATATTAGTATTATAAAATTTGAGGGGGGGACAATTTTTGGTATCAGATCAATAGGTTTAAGATCCCTAAAAAATCTGAATAGGAATATACTCTAAATCCATACTTATTGTATGAACAGTCAAGAACGATGTCAAGATCGTTATGATCCCTAAAAAAAATGAATAGGAATATACTCTAAATCCATACTTATTGTATGAATAGACAAAAACGATATCAAGATCCTGTACGACTGAAGCTAGCATGGAGGTAATTCATAAACCCTTGGAGAATATGGTTTTTTCTCATGCAGCTCCAGATGGAGAACAATAATTCACCCAGGCAGTCAGTTACGAGAATAATGGGTGTAATATCAAACAATCTAAGAAATCAAATCCACCTGTTTTAAGGGTGTTGTAATCCACTAAAAATCGATAGATGGATTATGCAATTGGAAAAAATATTCAAAGTAATGAAAAATTAGTTTTGATGTAATGTATAGCAAAAATTCTAAATTTGTTTTATTTATAGTTTAAAAATAGACTGTCATTCTTAAAAAAAATGGTATAAAACTTGGGATGTGACAAAAAACAATTGAGAAGGTTGGGGTTTGCATAGGTTAGGGAGAGAATGAGATTAGGAAGACATTGAGTATGGCGTGAGAGAGAGAATGAGACTACAAAGACATTGAGTATAGCGTGAGAGATAGAGAATGGGGTCCGTGATAGGTGGGATAGGGAAGGGAAATGCAATGGGTGAGAGCCGGTTGTCAAGTTTGTTTCCAAACAATGACATTTTGATTGGTGTTATCCCAGCCGTTCTTTTAGATCCAATGGCTGGAAAGTAATAGTAACATATTTTTTCTAGTTGGGTAGTGGGATCCCATAGAAACAGTCCCCTCTAGACATAGATAAACCCTTATGTAGATTGGATAGTGGGATCCTGTAGAAACGATCCCCTCTAGATATAGATAAACCCTTCTGTAGATTAAACCCAAACCTCGGTAGATTAAACCATTTTGCCACACAGTGCATTGGGGGTTTGCCTCAAAAGATGACTAAACAAAAATTTCACAATTATTTTCGTTGTCTATAAAATATACATAGAATCCATTAATTGGTCACCTCCTTCAATTTATATATAGAAATTATGCAGTGTACACCGCCCTTTTATCTCCTTCCCCTTATCTCAACCATGGCGGCAACGGCTCTTCTGCTCCCTGTCCTCCTCCTATCTGCCTCCGTCGCCGCCACTGTAGTTGCAGAAAGCTGCCGCTCGTGGCCTGACGATGCCGACACCCTCCCAATCCTCCACATCCATGGCAAATGCTCGCCCTTTGCCGCTCCCTCCACCTCCTCGTGGCCCGACACTGTAATGCACATGGCCAACAACGACCCTGCCCGCCTTGCCTACCTTGCAAACCTTGCTACCGTAGTCCCAATCGCCTCGGCGCAGCAGATACTCCACACTGGCAACTACATAGTGCGTGCAAAGTTTGGCACTCCCGGCCAGCTCATGTTCATGGTACTTGACACTAGCAATGACGCCGCCTGGGTCCCCTGTACCAACTGCTCTGGATGCCCCTCCACTCCCTCTGCCGCCTCCTTCACGCCGAATTCCTCCTCAACCTATGCTCCTCTCCCATGTACTGTCCCTGCGTGTACGCAGGCTCGCTTACCATCATGCGTTAGTGGTCTATGCTACTTCAATCAATCCTATGGTGGTGATTCCTCGTTCTCGGCGGTGCTGTCTCAGGACACGCTTCGTCTGGCTATGGATTTGATCTCGAATTATACATTTGGGTGTGTGCGTTCGGCTGCTGGCGGGTCGTTGCCGCCGCAGGGGCTATTGGGCCTTGGCCGTGGCCCTGCATCACTGCTCTCACAAGCAGGCATGCTTTACCAACGCACCTTCTCATACTGCTTGCCAAGCTTCAAGTCCTACTATTTCTCTGGCTCACTCCGTCTCGGCCCCGCCAGCCAGCCAAAGCACATACGCACCACCCCACTTCTGACCAGTTCGCACCGGCCCTCTCTGTACTATGCAAATTTGACTGCCATAAGCATCGGGGCTCTGCTAGTTCCTGTCCCGGGGTTCAACCCACTAACCGGCGCTGGCACCATAATAGACTCGGGGACCGTGATAAGCCGGTTTGTGGCTCCAGTGTACGAGGCAGTGCGAGACGAGTTCAAGAGAGTGGTGGCGGGGCCATTCTCTCCGCTGGGTGCGTTCGACACTTGTTTCCCAGCGCCGATGGACGTGCCAACGGTGACATTGCACTTCGAGGGTCTGGATTTGGTGCTGCCGGCCGAGAATGTGCTGATACACGCATCGGAGGGATCGCTCGCGTGCCTGGCCATGGCGGCAACACCCGGGGATGTGAATTTGGCACTGAATGTGATTGCCAACCTTCAGCAACAGAACCACCGGTTGCTCTTCGACCTGCCCAACGCGCGCCTCGGCATCGCCCGGGAGGCTTGCAATTGAGCTCGCTGCCCCTGCCCTACCCCCTCTTCTACTGCGTTTTCCAATTGTTTCTTCGTTTTCCCCTTTGATTGTTACTTGCTCCAAATGAAATATAATGTTTTGTTTCTGTCATAATAATATTCTGGGATATTGCATTGGTACACAAATTAATGGAATTTGCCTCTTGGGCTTGTAAAGTAATTTAATTTAAGACTTTCTTGGGCTAATGAAATGGCTGCTCCTGCTCCAAAATAACATTGACAGACATTGTAATCAATTTTATATTAGGATTTTTTTTTAAAAAAAAGAGAAAAATAAAAACAACTAACTTATAGGATTCTAGATATTCAAAAATAACAAGGCAACCGATTAAGAAAATTTCATAACCGGTAAAAAATATATGTGCATTGTTTTATGATAATATCTCTCAATAGATATTAATTGATCATTACCCAATAAGGAGGAGCTAATATAAAGAGTTGTTAGGAAAGAGATTTTCTCAAAATTTGACTACATAAAAATTGAAAAAGAAGACATTCATAAAAGATCTTTCTCTACCTCTCAAGAATTATACAAATGACTAATAATGCTTCGGGCTAAAAACTAGTGTGTCGGGTGTCGGGTGTCGGGTTCTCTAATAATGCTTTCTCTCTCAACCACGAGGCTTAAGTTCGTGTTCATGGAACGGGTTATCAAAAATAGTGTACTACTCACTACCGTGATCATAGTGTGTCGGGGTTAGCTTTTGCACCAAGGCTCAACTCCTCTACTTGCCTTCTCAAAATTTTGATCTCTTCAACTTGGAGATCTCGGAGGTCTCGTTCTCGTCGTAGGGATTGAGTCCTGATACCCGGCTATATACCATGTCTATGTGTCATGATGCTTAATAATGAACACCATGATCCACAAGAATCAACCTCGCTCTGATACCATCTGACACAATATGAAATTACTGGCGACTAACACTCGGCAAAATAACCACATGTTAAACAGAGAAATAAAAATCAAAAAAAAAATTACAAGCGAAAGGAATAAACTTGCGGATCCGAGTATTCAGCTGTATGCCACAAATACAAGAGTAGAAAAATACCCACAAAAAGGGCTTATCTGTCACTACGACAGCTGCCACTTTTTTTCATTCACAAAAATCAACTACTCTATTACAATTCATGTTCTCCTTTTGAAGGAGTTTGCTTTCATAAAACCAAAGATAACTAATATTATGGGGTATTGCATAATAATATTATGGGGTATTGCATAATAATATTATGGGATATTGCATTGGTACACAAATTAATGGAATTTGCCTCTTGGTCTTACACTTTAATTTAATTTAAGACTTTCTTGTGCTAATAAAATGGCTGCTCCTGCTCCAAAATAACCTTGGAAGACATTGTAATCAATTTTATATTAGGATTTAAAAAAGAAAAACTTAGAGGTCTAGATATTCAGAAATAGCAAGACAACCGATTAAGAAACTTTCATAACCGGTAAAAAATATATGTGCATTTCTTTATGATAATAGCTCACATTAGATATTAATTGGTCATTACCCAATAAGGAGGAACTAATATAAAAAGATGCTAGGAAAGAGATTTTCTCAAAATTTGACTACAAGTCAAGGTATTATCAAATAAAAAGTGAAGAAAAAAGACATTCATAAAACAGCTTTTGACTAATAATTATACGAATGACTAATAATGCCTTTCGGACTAAAAAATAACCCCGATGAGGAATGAAGCATAGATTCTAATGGACATATACCTAGTCAGCGGTTGGGTGCAAATGGATGGATACAAATTCAAGCGGAAGCTCAGACCGTTGTGGTCAGATCACACACTTAGGTGACCATGACGCCCGAGTAGCACTTGAGAGAGCTTTTGTGACCTTATGATGCATGTATGGCACTTTGGCATACCTTACCCCATGACGCCTATGTGACGCTTTCAGCCTCTATATCCTGATACCTACGTGAAAGTGGTCTAGAAGCATGCGGGTAAAACTTAATGTGTAGTAACTATCATGATACATTTTAACAATACTTTATAGACTAGGAATGTGTATACTTAATATTTCTAATTAAGTGGAGCATGTATGTGTCAAGGGGAAAGTTTATGTAGAGCCGAGGCTTTAAACAAACAAATTCGAGCCTACCTCAAAACTTTCACTATATGAGGTTGTTTTGATGCCTAAATATCTTCAAATTGATCATCTCGACATCAAGATGCATAGACACGAGGAAAAAATGGATTCTAAGTTTTGAAAATAATGTATTTTGTAACACATTTTTGGAACATCAATTTTAAAGATTTTCAAGTTTTCATAGATCTCTCAATCTATACTATTTTTTAAGCTTTAAACTTTATAAATAAATATAAAAATATATTTTAAGGCTATAAAAAAGATTTTCAGTATTGAAACCACATTCCTCAACACTATTTGAAGGTACGCTCTAATTGGATTGTTTAGAGCCTAGGCTCCATACAAACCGCACCTATCTGTTAAAGCCCTAGTATACAAAAATATAGTAATATTTATAGTTAGCAAGATCAGACCGGAGTGGTAGTCCAACTAGTATGACTACTGACCGGTGCCTTGGACGGTCTAGTCCAAGGTAAAAATCAAGTCTAGATGAAAACCGATCAAAACTAATGTTTCACCAGTTTTGGGTAGTTGAACTAGTAAGTTGGACAAATTTTCAATATATTTTGTATTTTATATCTATTTTTCTTTCTTTTGCTCTTAAATCTAGACGAACCAATTCAATCAATGGTTGGAGAAATTTGATGAACCTGATTAAGTTCACCGCCTAGTTTTCTACTCATATAACTTTGAAATTAAGGCTACAATTTGTGGTGTATGTGTTGACCATGTTTCATCTGCGATACTGTGATTTAATACCTCTAAATTTCTTGACTGCTTTATCTCTTTGATATTAATGAGATGTTCAAAGGCCATGACTTGGATCATTCCTCCTGCCGCCTTCTCTCCATATTCTTCACCCTCTTCCAAAATGGCGTTATTATCATCTTGATCCTTATCATAGATTGGATCCCCTAAACAATCTTGTTGTTCATCAGAGTATGTGTTGAAGATTGACGGTAAATCTCAATCTACAACTTGTTGATTATTTATACGATCTATGTCAAATCAAGAATCTTATCCTTCAAAATAAAAAGGCTTATACTTGAAATCCTCTTGGCATAAAAGACCACCGTCTTGCCCATTATTAAGGCTCATGAATTATTGTGCAATTGCTGAACTTGCCTTATAAGTTCCTCAATTTTGTCATCTATGAGATTACGGAATGGGTCCACAATGAACCCCCTTCTACGACCCCTTCTCACTACTATGAATTCATCGAAATATCATATCCTAAGCAAATAATCAACAAAAAGTCACTGAAAACAGCAAAATCTAGGTACATTGCTAGAGCACGTTTCATGTAGAAAGGGGCTCAGATACCAATTTGATGCAGGAAAACTTTGGAAAGCAGTAAAATTAGCAACACAAAAAACTACGTGTGTGTTAGCTCACTTAGGCTTTCGAGTCAACAAATACACATAAACAAAGCCAAATATGTATAATCCAAAGAAACCTAGGGTTTCTTATCTATACCCCTAGGTAGAGTTCCAAAAGCATGAGCTTTTCTCTCTTTAAATTTTTAAAAATCATGTGGAATGACTCCTTCAAGGCCCACATACCTCTTATATATTATAATTTAAAGTTTCAAGTACAAAAGAGTCCAAACAAATAATACATTAACTCATATATCCTAACTTAACTTAAAATTCGTAATGACAGTTTTATTCCTATGAACAATACCCGTGAACAGTATATATGAACAATAATTGTGAATAGTACTCATGAAATAAATAAATAAATAAAAACCCTAGAATCCCTAAAAATCCTAGAGCTAAAACCTAAATCTAAAATTATAATATACATCATTCGAAACTGAATACAAATTAAAATTAAAAATAACTGTGCCCTCCATCAGTTTGAGATAATAAATATTAATAATTGATATTAAAACAAGTGATTTTTAAAATCAAGTCAGGGTCCATGATTAAATTAGAATTCATATCCTGATGCAATATAAAATTACCAACAACTTAACACCTCGTTAAATAACCGTCTTAGAGAGAGAATTAAAAACCAAGAATAAAATCGCAAGCATGATAAACAAACTTGTAGATTCAAATATTCCGCTATAAGCCCACAAAACGACAAAAATACCCACAAAAAGGATCTCTCTCTCCCTCCCTGGCAAACTGCCACTTTTTTTCATTCACAAAAATCAATTACTCTATTACAATTCACATATTCCTTTTAAAAGATTTTGCTTTTACAAAACTAAATATAACTAATAAAAGAAGATAACTATCTAGACTATTACTTATTTCCACCTAAGGCAATCCTACGACATCACCAACAACTACCTTCATGAAAGGAGTCTACCAAGTTATCCTTTCTGTGAAGAATAAGATAAACTCCTATTTAAAAGCTCAACTCCTAAGCACGGACTCATAATCTTGTATACTTTCTAAAAAGAGAGACACTCTTAAGATTTTCAAAAAAACTGATATTTCAACAACATCCTAAATATAAAAGACAAGCTTTCTAAGAAACAAAATTGCAACGTTTAATCTTAAAATAAATAATATTCAAACTAAGCCAAAAAAAATCTACTTACATCTCTAGAAATAAAATTAATAAAAATTAAAATTAAAATTAAAATTTTATAGCAACCAAATCTTGATCTTCATCATTTTCCCTTGGCTGAAAAAAGTACTCATTTTAAAAATGCACCAAAGATGAAATATGTATTAGTCACGCCACTTCTTCGACCCGAATATTGTAAATACGATCTTGAGCCCTATGGGTTAGGGCACTGATCAAAACACCGTGATCGTTCATTGAAATTGAAAAATCCTCGAGGTTGATTTTTCAACTACATAACTTGTTGAAATTGCTCAAACTTAACCTTAAGGCACACCAATGCATCTGTTTTTTTTGTCATGCATCTCCAAAAACTCGATTTCCTCTAGGTTCAAGTCATCATCTTGATTCTCCACTCTCTATTGATGAGAAAAATAGATATCATTGCTGCTCAAAGACAACTTCTCTCCTTTCATCTTTCTCTTTATCAAATATGAGACCTTCATCAA